ATGCTGCACGATGAAGTTCTTATTCAGTTATTCTGTCCAAATTTCAATGGAAGTTTATTATCAATTATGATAAATCTTCGAAGTTCAATCAAAACCTCTATGAAATAAAGGTAATTGTTGGGGGACTTCATAGCAAGTATAATTATTTAAAGGGTGTAATTTGTAATATAATTCTTAATAAATAATTAATATCAACGATTCAAAGGTCTGGTGTATGGTATGTGTCAGGAGCATACGAGTCGTATCCATATATATATATATATATATATATATATATATATATATATATATATATATATATATATATATATAGGTGGCTTCTATCGTACCTTGGGTAAAATCTAGGGTACGACATACCATGAGTAAAAAAATGCTATCTAGACCTCGAATTAACCGAATTTTTGGACATGATACTATACTCTAACCCTTGATGATTGAAACCTAGGTCTTAGATTTCTAAATCAAAGAGCCTAATCCCTAAGATTGTGCCTGTAATTTGTTGCATATATTTCGACAAATCATAGCCGTTGATTTTTGTTTCTAATTAAATTGATCTTAGTGTATGAGATTTATAAAACTAAGACCTAGATTTTAATCCTTAAGGGTTTGGGAATAATATCAGACGCCAAACTATGCTCAATTCGAGGTCTAGATATCATTTTTTTACTCAAGGTATGTTGTACCCTTGATTTTACCCAAGGTACGATAGAATCACCCATATATTATATATATATATATATATGGCAAAGGCTAGACACTACAAAAACTCTAATCCCCACCCGCCGCTCATCCCCTCTCTCCCTCTGATTTCCTTCCCGTTCCCCACCTTTCAAAGCTCTTTCATAGCTCATCCCTACCTTTCACATCTCTATCTCCTCACACTGTCGACTGATAGGTTATAAACAATGATATAATATAATAAGTACTAGACACATAAGGCAATAACTTAACAATTTAATGACTAAAGTAAAATTTACTTTGCAGGTAACAGTCAATAATTTTACTATATATATATAAAGTATAAACACTAAAAAAACTCTAATCCCCAACCCACCCGCCACTCATCCCCTCTCTCCCTCTAATTTCCTTCTCATTCCCCACCTTTCACATCTCTTTCACAGCTCATGCCCTCCGCTCATCCCCACCTTTCACATCTCTATCTCCCCACACCGCCGCCGTCCTCCTCACCGCACCAACATCGACCCTTCCTCCAAACTCCTCCCCAAACCCCACTGCCGAATCAACCCCCACGAGGTCACGATTTCTCCCCAAACCCCGCTCCCTGACCTCTCCTCTCTTTCTTTCTGGAAATGGCGACGCGAGGTAGGCGGGGAATAATCCTGATGACAAAGCGCGGTTCGAGCTGCTTGAACGGTTAGCCGTTTCGGCCGCTCACCAGCCGGCCTTTCTAACCGTTGCGGTTTTGGAGGTGATCCAAACCGGAATGACATTCGGGTCCCGGTTTTACCGGTCCGATCGACCGGCTTGGGTCGGCTTTAACAACACTGAACAAAACAACATACCGGACCAAATAATACATGCCCATAAACCATCTTAGCCGCGCAACAAAGCGCGACATCGTCACCTAGTTAATATAATTAAAGCCCGTGGCGGAGCCAGGAATCTAAACAAGGAGGACTAAAAATCTACGCTCAGAGAATTCGAACTGACGAGGGGGAGCTAAATCCTTACCAACTACTATATTTCTAAAAAGTTTTATAAATTTATATGTAATTTTACGTGATTTTGCGAGTTGAGCTATAGCCTCCCCTGGTCTTAAGGTGGCTAGGTGGCTAAAGCTGAAGTATTACAGAATGTAAACCAGCAAATATTCTCCCATAACGTTTTTGAAGGCAGGAAAAACATAATGTAATCGGCACAAAGAAACTTCTAAAATAGTCTGTTAAATAAATATCGTAGGATATAAAGGATGTACAATTTTGGTGTAGCAGCATTGCAAACCTCAAAATGTCGAAGAAATAAACTGACAGCGAGAATTACACAACTATATTTTCTATTCTTTTGAAAGAGGAGAATGCAGAAGAAAGTTCATAGAGTTTTGGTGCTAAAAACAACAGGTATAGAAAACATATGATGATGATGCTATTTATAGAATGTGAAGGAGGATGCATATGAAAAGACGTCACTAGTTTGGGTAGATAATTGACAATTTGATCGAGTAGATACAAGTAATGCAGTTAAAATAGTGTTTTCAAACTTAAAAGATTTTGGTTTTACATTTATAGGTCATCAAAACGCTTTCGTTTTCATCTAAAATTTTTAGTGTATAAAATTGGCTAAATTGCGCTTTAAAGGTTAAAAGCTAACGCTTTTGCGCTTTAAAGGTTAAAAGCTAACGCTTTTACGCTTTTAGTTCACCAAAACGTTTTACGCTTTTATGCTTCCAGTTCACTAAATGGGTATTCTTTTCATGAAATTAATTATAAAAAGTAGATTTTAAAGATAAATTATCAACAATATGATATATTTTAGATTAAAAGACACCTACTAGGTACTTGGATGAATTCTCAACTTTAAATAGAGTAATCTAATTCACCAACTAGGCCCTTCCCAAATTCATTAGCATAGAGGGAAATGCGGCTTATTGTTAAGATATATGTTTATGAACTTATTAATAAGATGCTATATATGTGTTGCTCTACTTTAGACATGAATTGCAAGTATTTATTAACTTAACTATATTTCGTGCACTCATATTTTACATAGTATATGTTGTACTTAATAGATTTTTAGCTATTTTACAATATGCGTTAAAACTTACGCTTTTACGCTTTGATTCTATGCTTTATGATTTTACTTATTTTCCGCTTCTAAATAGAATCGCGCTTTTGACTGCATTAGTTACAACCCAAGCTATGTATTGGTTTGGTTAGTTGGGAATTGGACCAAACCAAGTCGAGCAACACATTTGTTCGGCTCTAATCAGTCGATTTTGATTGGTTAGTAAGATCAATCAGGTCGGGTCAATTTTTCTAAATAAAATCTATTTGACTTGAACAAAAATTGAAGCTATTAACGCATAACGACGATGATGCCACGACCCATCTTCTTCTCAACATTTTGGGCTTCTATCTTAAATATCCACTTCCATTTGACCAATGTTGTACAAGTGAGCTTTTAACCCCTACATTTTATTTCTATTCACGCTACCAAAAACTCTAGGGTGTGCCTACTGTGACATGCATGTCATGGTGACTTGCACTTTCCGGTCGACCTCAGTTAGGATTAGGTCGACCTCATTTAGAATTCGATCGACCTCATATAGGATCTGGTCGACCTCATTTAGGATTCGGTCAACCTCATATAGGATCAGGTCGACCTAATCTGTTGTTTCAGTGTAAAAATAGTTCATGGTGCCTACTTTGGATATTCATATCATACAATTGGCTAGATGGAAATTGAAGACTAATGACTTGTTTTGAAGCTAGAGTGTCCCTCTACATATTGAAGTGATTGAGAGCTCGATAGGAAGTCCATAAGACTATTTTTGAACCTCATCAAAAGGCTATGCCAAAACTGGGAAACTGCTTGGAAATGGCTAAGTCTGGAAACGTGTTTGTGAAGCCTATTTTGGAGCTCAATTCGAGAAGCATGAATGCGAGTCGAGTCCAAGAGCCTCTACCACGTCAAATTAGATATGTTTTTATACAAATTCAAGGCATTGGATGAAAGATTAGATATCTGTAAGGCTTCAAACAAAAGGGTCGAAGTTGCTACGAAGGCTGTTTTTCTGGCAGACTTCGAGCACAAGCAAGCTGCCAGAAAAACAGCCTTCGTAGCAACTTCAAGCCTTTTGTTGAAGCCTTAAAGATATTCAATCTTTCATCCAATGCCTTGCCTTTTTATAAAAAAATACGTAATTGTGGTAGAGGCCCCTGGACTTGACTCGCATCCATGCTTCTCAAATTGAGCTCCAAAGTAGGCTTGAAAAACACGTTGTCAGACTTAGCCATTTTTAGGCAGTTTCCCAGTTTTGGCATAGTCTTTTGGTCAGGTTCAAAAATGGTCTTCTGGACTTTCTATTGAGCTCCCAAGTACTTTAATGTGTAGAGGGACACTTCAGCTTCAAAACAAGCCTTTAATCGCCAATTTCCATCTAGCCAATTGTAAAATATGAATCTCCAAAGTAGGCACCATGAAACTGTTTTTACACTGAAACAACAGATTAGGTCGACCTGATCCTATATGAGGTCGACCGAAAAGTGCATGTCACGGTGACATGCATGTCACCGTAGCAAAGTCCAAAACGTTAATAGTTTTTAGCATTCTAGTTTTTTTTTAATAAATAAATCGCTTAAGTTTAAAGTGATAAGAAGAATGGTCTTCTACATTCCTCATTATTTTGTGGATAAACAAGGCAACAAAAACTAACACAACTCCTAAAAAAACATCAACACAATAAGAGTAACTTTGTACATTCCTCAATTTAACACATGAAAATTACTCATGCAAACAAAATACAGTCTAGTTCCTTGTAATTTTGAGAGGTGGTTTGCTTATTGGAATTGGGTGAGAGGTTTGGCACTCAAATCTTTAGTATCATGGATTTGAATAATTCTAATGTATGTTGGGATGAAAAAATTGGAACATAGATTCGTGAGATTCATGAATTTCAAATCCCACATTTCATTTAGAATTTCGTTGATGGAATACAAAATTGTGGGATCTATAGTGGATAAAGCTATAAATCTATGATAAAAAATTGAACTAAAAAAACAATGAACTCTTTCAAATCCATAATGTAATAAATTCCTTTAAATCTAAGGATTTCGAAATTAAAAAATTTACTCATTTCCAAATCCAACAACCAACGACCCCTAGATGTCTCTCATAGTGCAACCTATAATTTTAAAAGGCTAAATTGCAAGTTTGGTCACTGGAATTACTAAAAAGTTTCACGTTTGTCATTAAAATTAGTTTATTTCATTCATGGTCAATAAAATTAGGTCAACAGATCAAGTTTGGTCACTCTCCGTTAGCCTCCGTTAACTTTCGTTGATTTGGCAGTCAACTTTTATAGTTGACCGTTAAATGCATGACGTGGCTATTAAAAAATTATAAAAAAATAAAATTTAATGTTTTTATAATTTCCACCTCATTATCACAATAAATTAAAGAATAAATAAAACATAAATATTATAATTATACTCGACTTCCCTCCTACCAAAAAAAATACTCGACTTCCCTCTGCAGATCGGCATCACGGAGCGCCACCGCAATCTCAGATTCCATCGCTTCATCTTCCACGCACCCGATGGCGCGGCCACCACGATCTGCGAAATTGAAGCAGGAGCCAGGAAGATAGTTGAGAGTTCACCTTTGGATCATCCAGAAGCCTGAGAGGACTGGGATCTGAGCCAAGCAAGTCCCTACCAGCTTCGTTGTAGATCTTAATGGCGGAGAATTTCAATACAAACTCTCTTTCTTGGTTGTGAAATACACCGAGAAACCAATCAGTTTTCCTTATCAAACCTCTTGGGAAATTCAGAATAATTATCTTTTGCCAAATTACCTGTAGGTGTAGCCAAAAATGTCTGCCATGGCGTACTCTGTGATTCCTCTCATCGTATGCGTCTTCCCACTGCTATTTAGGTCATATTCTAGTTGAAAACACATGGTAACATTATACACATTCACTCCACCTTTTCTGTAACGGTGCCTGTAACTTAGAACTCTTACCATGGACGACGAAAAGAGCGACTTCCTTCGCCACTTCATCTAGACCTGTTTCGTGGCCCGAACACTCTACCTGTAGCGGGAAAAAAAAATAGATAAATTCAATGAAACGTGAGAGGAATTGAAGACTGGAAATGCTCTGACTGGGGATAAATCTTTTAGGGTTTCACCGAATGTGAAGGCTGAAGGGAGCATGAAGCAATTGTAGTGGTGGCGCCATCCAGTGCGTGGAAGATGAAGCGACAGCATCGGAGAAGGCAATGGCGCTCCGTGACGCCGAGTTGCAGAGGGAAGTTGAGTATAATTATAATATTTATGTTTTATTTTTTTTTTTAATTTATTGTGATAATGAGGTGAAAATTATAATAAGATTAAATTTTATTTTTTATAATTTTTTTAATTGTCACGTCACATATTTATCGGTCAAATATAAGAGTTGACTGCCACATCAGCAAAAGTTAACGAAGGCTAACGGAGAGTGACCAAACTTGAACGGTTGAACTAATTTTTATGACCATGAATGAAATAAACTAATTTTAGTGACAAACATGAAACTTTGTAGTAATTTTAGACTTTTAGTGATCAAACTTGCAATTTACCCAATTTTAAAAATTGCACATCCACGTCATCCCTTAAACTTACATATATGAACTACGCCATTGTTTTCTAGCCGACATCAAATGTATCTGTAACATCTTATCCTATCAAAGATATGGCGATTAGAACTCAAAGAGAAACGGCAAGTAGTGCTGATCGTGGGACCATTATTAGTTGTCAGTTCCATAGGCGAGCTGTGAGCTGTCACACTCTACAATTACAAGCAAAGCCAGAACATTAGAGAGAGAAAGAAATTGACATCATCAATTCATCATCATCTTCCATTTGTCAGTTCCATAGTCTTGTGAATGTTTTATGTTGCCATGTACTTAAATGCAACTAAATGACTAGTTGTTTGTCAAAAAAAAAAAAAAAAAAAAACTAAATGACTAGTTCATGATATTTGACGAGCGAGAACCATGTACGGCAGCGCAAAAGAGCAAACTATGAGAGTGGAAGTTGGATATGGTGATGACTGTCTATTTCAACTCGAAAGGAAAATGGATTCTCTTGGGCTTGTTTTGTCCTTCTTGTTTATTTTGAGTACTTGTTTGTAATTAGCCACTTAATTTTTATCCTAAACAGAAATGTACTTTGGTTTAATCAAAGCAATACACTTTAATACATTTTCCTCAAACGGGTTGCGGGTTAGTCGGGTTCGGGTTCAAACGGGTTGTGGGTTAGTGGGGTTGCGGGTTCATCGGGTTCGGGTTCAATCGGGTTGCGGGCAAATCGGGTTGCGAGTTCATCGGGTTTTGGGTCGGGCGGGTTGCGGGCGGATCGGGTTTCGGGTTGTTCGGGCCAGCGCATCAAGTAACTTAACTCATTACTCATTACCAACTTACACATTTTATTACACTAATTTAAAATATTTTCTCAACTTTTTAACCAATTTATTTAGAAAAAATATATATATACTTTATTTTTTTGAAAAAAACTAGTCAAAATGTTAAATCAATTTGTATGACTTGCAAACTTGTTATGTAATTAATCATAATTTGTAAAGTATTATAGCTAATAGTAATGGTGATATCAATATTTGCAACCAAAAGACAACATTAATTGTTTATTTGATATTTTAGTATTAATTCAGTAGTAATTGGATTAAAGTATCTCGTTTAGTATAATCATGCAAATATGGTATTTGGCGTGTGGTATTTGGCAAAAGCATAGTGATAAAAGGAGTTATTTCGAAATAACTCATTGCCCAAAGTACTTCAGTAAACTGTTGCCAAACGAGTTATTTGTAAAATTGTTCGAATTATCCTAAAAATTGAACCATTAAAGATTAGCTATCAAATTTAGTAAAATTATTGTGACTTCAATCATAACTTACTCAATAGCATATATCATGTACACTTAGCCTTACCCTCAATCAACAATATTAAGTTAGTATATGTTGTTGATTGTATACCCTAAACCATCAATACATTATACACTAACCACATAACCTATACCCTAATCATATGTCTTTGAGTTGTGATTTTGCTAGTATAGTTAATTTAAAAGTGAAATTCATACTTTGATTTTCAAAACATAGGTAAAAAGTGATATTTGCTAATTGTTATACACTAACCATATATCCTATACTTTACACCACATACCTTGTACGCTAACCACGTACCATAAACATAAATTAAAAAGGGATCTCCTTCCGTTAAAGACTTCAAATGACTTCAAGTGAACATATGTTAATAAAAAACTTAGAACCGTCAAAACCATCAATATCTTATACCCTAACCATATACACCCTAAACCATATGTACCTTATACCCTATACCCTAACCATATACTTTATTTCCTAAACAACGAACCGTCAAAGATTACTTATCAAGTTTAGTATAAATTGTTGTAACTAATGGTTAATTTATTTATTAGCCCATAAACAATTACATACATATATATATTAGCCTTCAAAGCATATAAGAATAATTTTAACTAGTCATGCCCTCCATATAAAAGTTAAAGATTCATATTTCAAAAGCTAAAATTATGAAAAATCAAAAAATTGAAAACACCAAATTTGTTTCCTTCTTTCTTTTCACAAAAATACTAAAATTTCCCTCTTTCTTTCTACTTCCATACATTAGAAAACTCAATTTTCCCTCCTCTTTCTCTTCCATAAAATTGAAAGAACCAAATTACCCTCTTCTTTCCTTCTACAAAAAGTTGAAAACTCAAAAGTTTCCCTCCTTATTTCTCTTTCATAATCAAAAGAATCAAACTTTCCCACTTTTTTCTCTTCCCACATATCAAAACCACCAAAATTCCCACTTGTTTTTTTTTCTAAAAAATTCAAAGAACCAAATTTCCCTCTTCTTTCTCTTCCCAAAAACTTGAATACACCAAAATTTTCCTCTTCATTTAAAAACATCAAATTACCAAATACATTACTTTACTTTATTTATATTTAATTGATAATTTTATTAAATAGTTAAATTAACCAAAATTTTAATTTATATATTATATTAATATTGTCATGATTTCAAGTGACCTTCATGTTCAATTTTTGTAATTTTCTTAAAATAAGTAATATCAAGTGAGTTTCATATTTTTAAAATTTCCTATACGAAATGAAAAAATAATTTTACTTAAGTTTAGAATGAAAAACTTTATTTTGAAAAACTATGTATTGTATATTTTTATAATTATTCAAGTGGATTAGATGAAATTCGGGTTGAGTCGGTCGGGTTACGGGTTAGTCTGGTTTAGGTCAATCGGGTTCGGGTTAATCGGGTTGCGGGTCAATCGGGTTCGGGTTAATCGGGTTGCGGGTCAGTCGGGTTGCGGGTTAGTTGGGTTGCAGGTCAATCGGGTTGCGGGTCGGGCGGGTTACGAGTTGTTGACTTTTAGTCAATTCGGATTGCGGTCGGGTTGCGGGTCGGGTTGATCAGGCGGGTTAATCCAGTCGGGCTATGTTTTGACACCTATAGAGATAGGTGTTAACAAGTCTTAAGTGGTAGCACCATAAAAATATTTTTAATAAGAGTATTGTAGTAAACCTTCTTCACGTTCCCCTTTGACTTTCTCTTCCCCCTCATCTTTCATCTATGTTGCTTTCATAAGGCTTCATATACAAAATTACAGTTTTGGTACCCGAACTTAATATATCTTAATATTAAGTATCTAAAATTATTATTAATACATATAAGTCCTAAAAATATTGATGACAACTTACATTTAGTACCTAACATTTTTCTTTTTGCATTTTGGTACATAAACTTTTTAAAATCTACAAATAGCTTCACTAGGAAGCCCAAACTATCTAAAAAGTGTCATTTGTGTCCTAAACTATTCAATATGAAAAATTTGGCCCGAACTATTTTTCCGTTAATGTTGACCGGCATTGACCGTTAGTATTTAACAGAAAATTTAGTCAGCAATGACGTGACATGTGACATGGAAATTTTAACTTCAATTCTTATTTATTTTTTCAACTATCTGGTCTCTACGACTGAGACCCTCGCCGCGATCTCGCCCTGAAACCCAACCTCTGAACGCTATTTTCGTCTCTCCCACCACAAATCCCAATGATACGGCCCTGGGGGTGTATATTTTCAAAGTCACGCAGCTAACGACTCAATCGAAGGATCGATTGAGCTCGAATCAAGAATGAAGCGTTCTTAATACGAACTTGGATAAAACAGAACAAAAGGACAAATCCACACCTAGGGATAGCTCGATTGGTATAAAAGGGTAGTTGCTCGACCATGAATGGTTGGCAATTTGGGATCATATCACCAAACCATCTATCATTGATTTAAGGAGTAATAGCCGCCGTTGAAGGGAGATTTCGGAGAAGTTAGTTCGAGATCGACGGACTCCGGCCAGAAACCAAAAACCCCATTCTCTAGGTTTTGCTGATAAGCTGGGGTGCGCGGAGAGGTTTCTCACTAGTGGCTTCACCCAACATGGTTTGTGGTCGATAACCTTCTAAGGTACGCGTCCATCACTTCTCCATGATGATTTCCAGGAGGTGGCTATATTTACACCATAGCCTAACACATCGACGAGCTGAGGGAGGAGTACGGATTTGAGCTCTGGTAAACATTGTCGAGGGAAGGACCCTATCTATCATCAATCGGCTTTCACCTTTGGCATTGACAAGGCGACAAGCAAGGGAGTAGACCTCGCAAGCAACACTTGTCCCACATACTCTGCGTGGACGACTGCTAGGAGACCAACAGTGCATTTAGTGAGACTACAAGAGCATGGATATGCAGTTGGCCATCCGCCACTACCACAACCACCTCAGCATGGCGAATTTAGAGGCCAACTAGCGGAGTTGAGAGCAGATGTAGGACATACAGAGGAGAGCCATTTGATGTGTAGTTATTATGAAGGATGCAATACAATGCAATATAGTGACCATTTGATGTGTTTGAACGTCATATTATTTGATATATTCAAAGATTTTTTATTATGCAAAAAGATTCTCATGTTTAAAAAAAATTCAAAGGGTGAAGTGTATCTTTAGAAGAATGCAAATTTTGCTAGCCATCAAGGTATTATTCTAAAATTTGCCATGATATGTGAAGAAATAAAGTGTGAGGTAAGCCTAACTTGTGAGGCATCATTTCATTGCACTAAAACTTGGGTTTTCGAAGAGATACTAGTTGAGTATTAGTGGTGAAGTTATGCAAAGTGATACTAGTTCCTCTTTAGTACAAGTAAAATTTCCACCCGTTGAAATGATTGTCAACTTGAGGATGTTTTATTAAGTGCATGGATAAATCTTGTGACACCCCTTAATTTCACTTTATCGTCCACATGAGTTGAAGTATATGAGCTTTAAACTCTTGCTCGACCAATAAGGTTAAAGTTCAAAAAGAGCTCTCCACCATAAGAAAAATCCAAAAAAAAAGAGATAATAGTTTGCAAGAGGAGAAAATTTGAAAATCATAAAAAGAGTTTGAGTTTGAATTAGGCAAAGTTCCCCCTTATATTTTGAGACTCTAATTCATTATTAGTAATTGATGCTTGGATTGTATGGTATAATGTTGTTGCATATTAATGTGGTTAGGATTCTGTCGTGCTATTTGTTGACCTTGTAAGTTACTTCTCATCCACTACCTAAGATCAGGGTTGAGTGATGGTGTTTAGAGTTCATTGAGTTGTATGATTATGAGTAGTGTTTGCTTGGGGATAAGAAAAATTCAAGTGTGGGGTATTTCTGATAACAGTTTATTTATAGGGCTTGTCACACTTATTCTTGATACATTTTCCCTTATATCAAAGAATCTTCGGTCATTTCAATGGAATTTCCCATCTAAATCAAAACTATTTGATCGAAGAGCCTATAATTGACCTAGGCCATATTATTGTACTACGTGGCCTGCCGCATTGGGAGTTGAGATGGAATCCCTTGACATGAATCAGACTTGAGAACTTTTCAGACGACCACAAGAAAGGAAGATTGTTACAAAAAAATGGATCTTCGGGAAGAAGAACAGAATGCCCTCTGTAGAGGGCATTAAATTTTAAGCTCGACTGGTTATAAGAGGCTTCATGCAGAAAGAAGGTGTTGATTACGATGACAACTTCTCACTAGTATGCAGACATACTTCAATTAGGGTATTACTAGCAATAGTTTCACATCGATACATGGAGCTTGAGAGACTGGACGTGAAGACATATTTTCTCCATAGAGAGCTAGAACAAGAAATTTATAGGACTCGGGCTCAACCATGGGTTCCAAGTTACAAGAAAAGAATATTATGTTTTAAGTTGAATTAGTCCTTGTATGGACTTAAGCAAACTCGCGGTAGAGATACAAGAGGTTTGGAAGTTATATACTTGGTTTGGGCTACAACAGAAGTTCAAATGATTTGTGTGTATATCACAGCAAGGCAGAAGGATTTGGGAGCTGCTCAAAATATTTTAGGTATGGAGATTTACAGGAAAAGAGAGAAGAAGAAGCTATTATTGTCAAGAAAGAGCTACATCCAAAAGATATTGTCTAGGTTTGGGATGTCTTAAGCAAAACCCTTAAATACTCATAGTGCTTCAAATATTAATCTATCCTCAGAGTATGCCCCATAGTTTGAAGGTGAGAAAGAGTACATGTCTCGAGTCCGTAAAATACAAGTTAAGTTTGTACCACGAAGGAAGTTGACGGAATGTGAAGGTACAAGTTGAATTTGTACCATAAGGTTTTAGGTACTAGTTCAGTTTGTACCATGAGGAATTTTTTAAAAAGGTATATGTACAAGTTGAGTTTGTACCATTAGTTAAGGTACAACTTCAATTTGTGCCACAATAGAGGGATGTCGTAGCATATCCTCCACTTCCTGCCCCGGCCCGCCCATCATTTCGTCATGCGCATTGTGCCCCCTGCCAGCACTCATGTCTGGATACCGGTAAGTAATTTTACCAACTCTCATCTGTCCGCTCGTACAAACCTTGTCTGCACAAATGTCACAGAGTTCTTGCCACGTGAATCGCGACTCAATTTTCAACATAGTGGATTCACCGTCCTCATAATCAATCCCAATGTCAGAGTTTGTCACCCTTCCGTTCAACGAATAATAAGCTGAAACTTCTTAAATTTACCCATATCTACAATTTACAATAAGTAACTATTAGCTTAATTCCAATAAAATTAACCAAAACCATATTGTACGATTAATATTACTCCATCTCATAACTAACAACAACTTAAATTCCCAACTAACATAACATATTTGCTAAGATAAGTAATTAATTACATACATATAACTACTAAAAACATCATTATATAACAATACAAAATAAAATTATATCGAAAAATAGCTTCTGTGTATGTTGCTCGATTTTTTTGCTGAAATTTGAAGAGGGAGGGGGTTTACGTTTTTCCAACTGCTCGTGGGAGGGTATTTATATGAAAATCGGTCAGCATTCACCGTGTTTGTCAACAGCGGTGAAGGCAGTCACCGTCTTGCCCTAAAGTGGTGAACGTTAGGTTGATGTGACCTAACTCTCTCACCTACCAGGGATGGGAAACGTGGGCAACTATCACCGCCGTAACCTACAGCGGTGAAGGTGTTCCCCACTTTGCACGAAAACGGTGATCAGTTCACCATTGTTAACAAAGACGGTGATTGCTTCACTGTTTAAGTAAAACGAGGTGAACATTTCACCGCTTTAGATAAACACAGTGATTTATTCATCGTTTTCATTAAACGCGGTGACTTATTCACCGTGTTTGTCTAACACGTTGATTGCATTCACTGCCTTAGACAGAGGCGGTGAATGTGAAACATGTGTAGATTGGCAAATTATTTTATAACTTAAGTATTTTGTGAATTGTTTTTAATTACTGGTGTATATTGGGATTTTTCCCAAATTGAGGTTTATAAGGGGAAGTATGGATCAAAAGCACCATCCTCTGCATATGAGCCTACCACTAATGAGAGCAATGTTGGTGGTAGTTCTGCTGAAGGTGTTGGTGATCGGATTAAGAAGCTCGAGGAGAGGCTCGTGAAGAGGAAAATGGAAGCACTTCTGCAAGAAACAGGAGGTAGCTCGGCTGAGTTTGACATCAATTTGAAATGTCAAACTGATGGCATCAACGAAGAGAGTAATGATGCCAAGTTTGACATCTTGGGTTGGTGGTCTCGACACTCTGGAATATATTCGATTCTTGATGAGATGGCTAAGGATATCCTAGCTGTTCCCATATCTTTTGTTGCCTCAAAGGCAACATTCAGCTGTGGCAGCCAGATTCTCAGTCCATTCAGGTCCTCTTTGAGCGATACAATGGTTGAGGCATTGATTTGGCGGCTAGATTCTCAGTCCATTAAGTTGTACCTACACTTTCTAACAAATCCCTCTATGGTACAACTCAAAATTGTACCTATACTTGTGGTACAACCTTATGTTGTACCTACACTTTCTAAAAATCTTTCTACGGTACAACCAAAACTTGTACCTATACTTGTTGTACAACTTTAAGTTGTACCTACACTTTCTAACAAATCCCTCTATGGTAAAACTCAAAATTGTACCTATACCTGTGGTACAACCGTATATTGTACCTACACTTTCTAAAAATCCTTCTATGGTACAACCCAAACTTGTACCTATACTTGTGGTACAACTTTAAGTTGTACCTACACTTTCTAACAAATTCCTTTATGGTACAACTCAAAATTGTACATATACTTGTGGTTCTGTGAATGTGTGTATTCTTTACAATCCATCGTTCTTTTGACATAAACTTGTCCAGAATGCATGCATTTAAATGAAACTTTAGAATCTCAAATGGTTAGAATCATTCATTTTAGAATCTCTACAAAAAGGTGAGATTCTCTTGCTTTACTTTTGTAATTGCTTTTTTGCACTCTTATCCTTATTTTTTTTTTATATTTCATATTTGCGCAATGATTATATAAAGAGAACGTGAAGGTTATATAAGTTTTTTTTGGTCATTAGAGTGAGAATCCTTATATTCTTCAAAAGTGAGAATCACAACTACTAAACATCTTATTCTTACAATCATCTATTTCTTACAATCACTATACTAAAATACATACATTATAAGAATACACATATTCGTAGACTCCCAACTTCCAAACGACCCCTCAATATTGAAGATGCCAACCTAGGTTATCATAATCAATATACCAATTACATCAGCTCATCATCGCCGAACCAATTTATCCAAAATGATAATCACATAGTTTTACGAACATACATTGCAATGCATGATACGAAAAATGCCAGTTTATTATCAATGGGCGCCAAGGTCACTATACAAATACCCGCTCGAGAAAATCATCATCATCACCAGTGGTTTTTCATGCAACCACAATTATCAATTCTAGAAGCGAGCTAATATACCCAATCCCAATGGTTGGGGGTAAGTGCAGGAACTCATATACGTCTAGGTGAGTTAATATAATCACAAAATCAAACAATTCTCGTTTCTCTCATCAATGACAATCGATTCGGAATCAATGTTGTCTCACTGATTCCCAGTCAATGCATATCTCATGTCAACATTTCATCAAAAAAAATATAGTAACCAATGCCTTCCCATTGAGTTTCCATTTCAAATGAATCTCCATGTAAGGAAAATATTTTTGATACACTTAGTAGAGGGGAAGATAACTGCATAAATTCACCTTGAAATGGTGTATACACACAAATAAAGAGGTTTATTATGACCTTTACTTGAGAGGGGCTCATTTGAAAGAATATTGATTTAGTTTAGACAAATAAGTACTGTAGAGTACATTTGGAGTACTCTTTGCATAGTCGAGGAACTCATTATCATGCTCTAACAAGGTCATCTCCTGCTCGTGCAAGGCGATCCAAGCCTCAACTCCATATCCAGTTGGCGAATCCATCAAAGCGACAAGATTGTTTATATTATCAGCAAATCTAGCCATGCTAACCCAAACCGGATTTCCCCATCCAAAATCTACGTCATATAATCCCAGCCTAATCACGCTCGACACCACAAAGTGCATCACTTTGCTCCCGCTTTGAGCACCAGCCGCCATCATCTTCCGCCTCATCTCCTCATTTCTCATGTGTTCTTCCCTCCCAGCTCCGCCTTCTAGCCTCTGCATGAACTCTCCATCCACTTTCTCGATCGAGCTTCTCAGTTTGTGCACCAGTTGTTGCAACGGCTTCGCTTCATTATTCGAAGAATGAAATTGCGAGTAATCGTCGTGGTTGTGTAACGCGATGGGGTCCCATATTAAGTTGCCAACTGTGTAGCCAGACGCCCATGGTTCCTTCATTCGATATCGAAGATCCACCGTCATCCCTAATTAAGATAAAATCATTCAAAAAGTGTTACATTAATTATATTTTTAAAAATATTTGTTGCTATGAATTGAAAAAGATTATATGCTGTCGAAATAGGTAACACACATCATTCGTATTAGTGAACCATGCAAATTTATGTGTTGGTACTTTCTCGCTTTGTCGTTTTCCATCACGCAAATTATAGATAACTAGATAATTGGTCTGTGCTTCGCTGCGGTTTATCTAAAAATGTATATGTCAATTAGAATTGAAAAACACTTTAATTTTAATGAAGGTTGGTGATATTAGAACACGAAATAAGCTTTTCAATAATCATTAACCTTTGTAAATTGAATAGTGAAATTGATCTCTCCTGCCAACGAAATAGGTAACACACATAATTCGTATTAGTGAACCATGTAAATTTATGTGTTGGTACTTTCTCGCTTTGTCGTTTTCCATCACGCAAATCATAGATAACTAGATAATTGGTCCGCGCTTCGCTGCGGTTTATCTAAAAATGTATATGTCAATTAGAATTGAAAAACACTTTAATTTAAATGAAGGTTGGTGATATTAGAACACGAAATAAGCTTTTCAATAATCATTAACCTTTGGGATACGAATACAGTTTTTTTATCGAATAATTTTTTTCAAATTTTTGGACACACATTACAAAATCTATAATAACGAAATCAAGTGATGATGGTCATCCAATCTCGATTGAACCAAATCTAATGATACTTAACAAATAGTTTTTTTTAACAGATACTTAACATACAGTTAGGATGTAAGTCATTGTGTGTGTGTAAATTTCTATATGTAACAACCTTTGAACTTGGACAACGAACATACCATAATTGATTTAGCCAGAACAAAGCCTACTAATGAAGTATAACATGAAGCTCTTGCGTGAGGTCGTGTGAATGGTGGTCAAGCTAATTTAGCTACTTTAATTCATTAGTAGTGTTTTTTTATTTGGACAGTGGTTGGTTAGGGGTAATCAAAAGTTACTCGGCATATTTAAATCTCATTAAGGGATGAAAATACTTAGTTATCCCATGTAACCATGTCCATGTGCATATTGCTTTTATCCCTATTTAATGAGTAGCGATTTAAGTTGATTAGTAATTAATCATTACTTGGAAAGTCGGTGACCAACACCCAAGGATTGCCATATCTAAAATATTGTTCCAAGCTAGGGGTGGAAGTTTGGTTTAACTGTTTGGGATCCATCAAATTCCACACAAAATTTATCATTATCTGGTATTATCGATTACCGAGTTAATTTTTTGGGTTTGTGATTGACATTGATTTTTAAGTAGTATTCAATATTCTAGATATGCAATTGGAATTGATATATACCAAGATACCGAGCATTCCCAAAAAATTTAACATGATACAATAAACCTTCCCTTAACTCACTGAGCCTCAAAGCCCTCTCAAATAAATTAAGGACACAGTTCATCCTTAATAACAAAATATATAATTAACTATATGATTGTAAGAAATGACTAATTCTTATTGACTTGTGTGTATGCTCTATCTTAGAAGAATGAATTGCTTAGTTGTATCGATGAGTAATTATAGTGAAACTAAATTGAGATTTAGATAAATATGATTGATTAATAATATTGAAGTATAAGTGATGTACATATGATTGTAATAGATGGCTAATTCTTATTAACTGATGTTTATGTTTATGATAAAATATCTTAGAAGATTAAATTATTTTGTTGTATTGATGAATGATTAAAGTGGAACTAAATTTAGATTTAGAGAATTAAGAATTATTTAATAATAGAGAAGTATAAGTTTAGTCAATTGAATATAATACCACAGTATTTATATACACTAAGAGGAAGTTTTCAATATCTCATGTTCAATTCAAACAACATTATTATTGTTTGTAATATAACGTTATTTAATTTAGTATTTGCTATATAACTCTTTATTTACCTTGTTGCTTTTGTGCCAAAAGATTTGTTGTGTTACTCTTGCCCCTCGTAACCCAGTTTGTATGCTTGAGAGTATAAACTGCTATACTAATATAATATCAAACTATTTCAGATTGAGATTGATTTGGTCGGTATTGAGCATTTGAGGTACCAATAAACTTATTTCTCCTAGTCATAACAAAGTCCATACACTGATTAATGACTAATGACATGTAAAACTTGCAATTAAGTATAGCATTTAATTAGTCACGAATCTATGGCAGAAAAATGTGGGAAAAGAAAAAACCATTTAACATAAGTCCTAGTGAAAAAGGAAACTTTCCTAATCAACAGCTGGAAAAACGTGGGTTAAAAAGAAATAAAAAAATGCATACGTGAGAAGGGAAAAAAACTCAATTATGATAAATTCTAACGAAAGGGAGAAACTTGCCTAATCAACTGCTAGAAAAATGTGGGTTAAAAAGTTTAAAAAAAACTTATATGTGAGAAGAAAAAAAACTCAGTTAAAGTAAGTCCTAGCGAAAAGGGGAAACTTGCCTAATTAACAATTAGGAAAACGTGCATTATGAGAAAAAAATAATTTTTAAGATAAGTGTTATGTGGTTTTAGGTACACCCTCCCACACCTCACTAGACCCATTAAGTATATTTGCACTTTATATATACTAAATACTTTTTTTTTACTGGAAACCTGTGAATACTAAATACTAATAATAATAATAATAATAATAATAATAATAATACTTTGATTGTACATTACCTGCGAGCGAGTAAATTGGTCCCGCCTGCACCCCGTCGGGCGACGACGCTACGGCGGCTGCATTCATCGCGCATTTCCACAGTAACCCGCCAACCGCCTCGGACCGGGTCGGGTCGGGAACCCGCTCGCTCTTTGCTCTTTCTTTCAGCGCGGAGACGGCTTCTTCATCGAACCATGGTAAAGGAAACCGTACCGGAAGTCATATCGGATTCGCCGGTGGTAGGATATTTTGTGGTACGACCGTGGTTCAATCGTTTCGTACCGGTAAATATCGTTTTTATAATAGTAAAATATTTTTTTAATCAAAAAACCGTATCGGCAAAATCAGGGTACCGTTTCGGAGAAATATCGGAGTGTACCGGAATAAACCGGATAATATATACTAAATAATTATAAAATAACAATAAATACCAAAATATATTAATTGAAATAACTAAAAAAATAAAATTATATCTCCCCAAATCCGTCCCATCCCAATCTCATCTCCCATCTTAATATTTAATTAATTAATTCTCACTCTCCTCTCTCCTCTCTCCCTTTGGATTGCGAGGACGAGGAAGGAGGGATCTTCCCCAACTAATTCCAATTTCCAACTCTCCTCTCTTCTCTCTTTCTCTTTCAGGTTTGCGATGCAGGAGAGATCTTCCCCAACTAATTCCAACTCTCCTCTCTTCTCTCGTTTGCGACTAATTGCAGGAGGATTTTTTCCATATTTCTTCCTTTTCTTCTAGGAATAATACCGATTGGGACAAAAGAAAGCATATCGATCGGAGGCAAGCAGGCTGGAGTTGCATGTCGAATCCCTCTGTTTATCCGTCTTCGCCGCATGAAGTTGCATGCCGGGTCCGATCAATCGAAATCGGCGTTGTCTGTTGAGTACAGCAAAGCCACCATCCATCGCTTCTTCTTCTTCTGGGTACTCTTCTCACAGCGGCAGCGCACCGCCGACAGAAATGACGCGGCCGTTGAGTAGCGACTTTGGGGAAAAAATTCCCCTGTTTTAAGTATCGACAGTTCAAACAAAATCGTACTCTGCCCTTCTCGTCGGTCGCCAGCAGGGGAAGACGAAGGGCAGCTCGCCGGTCGCCAAGTCGCCGGACTGCTGGAGAACAGGAGAAGACGAAGGGCAGGCTGCCGGCGCGTTCTCCTATTCACGGAGCTGTCGTCTGTCGAGCACGAGCAGGCGGTCGCCGAGACGCCGACTCGCTGGAGAGTGGAGTCTGGAGATCGATCGGCGACGTTTACATACAAATTTCATTACCGCCGGTCTGATTTTAACCGGACGATATCTCGGTTTATGCCGGTTAAGCCGATTAAACCGGCCGGCGCGGTAGAAAGGAGGCTGGTCGGGTGCCGTTTCGCCATTGGTCGGATTCCCGGTTTTACCGGTTGAACCGGCCGGTACGATCCGGTTTCCTTTACCATGCATCGAACACGAATCTCCTCGTCACGCTCTTCATCCCTCCGGCTTTGCAATTGCACAGGATATCCGCAAAGGAAGGGCTCACGTCACCGCGATGCGCGGGGAAGAGTCGCCACGTGGCGGATTGATCGTGAGCGCACGCGCTGAGGCTGAGTCCTACTCGTTTGTTTCCACGCGCCGTGGCGGCCCAGAGCTTCATGAAATCGACGAGGGTGTGGGTGTCGACAATCTTGTGCAGCAAGCAAACCCCGACGGCGATCCCGCCGCAGGGGAAGACGGTGGCCTTGATGGCGATCTGCGGTGCGGATTCGACGCCCGCCGGCGTGGTGATCAGGTGGGCCGGAAAAGGAAGGAATCGCTGGAGCGAGTCGACGACTTCCTTGCCTCTACGGACCATGAACGAATCCAAGCTCTCACCGTCGTTTGGTAAGACGGAGAAAGAGAAGGGGACGCCATTGTCATTGCAATGCACGACCGGAATCGAATCTCCGCCGTCGTGGTCGGGATTCGAAAGCCTTCCGGCGAGCGGGTAGAAGCGCGTGAGAGTGTGGGCGAGTGAGGATTTTAAGTCGTCGAGTCTCTGACGGTAGAGTTTGGATCCGGTGCGTCCGGGAGTAGGATTGTTGTAGAAGAAGATGAAGGGCATGTAACAAGGCGGCATGTGGTTGTCGATGAGGGAGAGCTTGAATTTGGTGAGGTGGCGGGGAGTTGGGGAATAGGGTTTTACTAACATGGTTTCTTCGATGGCGGTACTGCTCAAAGAAGATGCGCACAATCCCCGTCGAAATGGAGGCAGCAATGTCGTCGTTATTTGTGTATGCCGACGGAACATTGTTCGTCGCTATTGCTTTTGCCGAAACGGATGCTACGGAGGAAGTTTTTTTTTTTTTTTATACACCCGATTGAAAGCAACTCGGAGACCAAATTTATTATGACTGGTTCGTCAGGCAGCAAGTTGCTTTGCAACGGATCGAATAATTATACGCATTACTGCATTAGTACAAGGTAAAAGTCAGCCGGCCAAAGTTTAGCTTCCCGAAAAGCTCTTAATTCCAGGCCTCTCACTTGTCCAAGGTTTCAATGCCCATATGCTATATTATATTGTGTAATGTGTATCTGTGTATGTATATGGGTATTTGTCCTGTAAGTATGTAGGATGGATCAACAAATCTAACTTGCTCAACAAATTTCAATCAATTAATATTTTCGTATGGTTTGAACTTTGACCAAAATAAACATTCTGGCCAATTTTTTCGATCTATAACATCCTGGCCCGAACTATACACCAAAATAAACAATTTGGCCAGATCCGACTTTGACCATTAACTTGGACGGTCAAACACGTTGACCGTTAGTCAACGCGCCATGTCACTGCCAAGTCAGCATAAAATATTTAAAATAATTCACAATTTCCACACATTCCCTAATTTTAAATTATTATAAATTAAAAAAATCATCTAATACCTTAGTTAAACCAAAAATAAAAAACAAAAAAAATTAAATATTTATCAGATCTTCTGACTTGGCAGTGACGTGGCGCGTTGACCGTTAGTCAACGTGTTTGGCCGTCCAAGTTAACGGTCAAACATCGGGTTTGGCCAAATTGTTTATTTTGGTGTATAGTTCGGGCCAGGATGTTATAGATCGAAAAGATTGGCCAGGATGTTTATTTTGGTCAAAGTTCAGGCCATACGAAAATATTAACCATATATCTTACTAGATAATCATTCAAAATCTGATCGCCTATTCAATTCTGAAAATTGTTCTTGATGTAACTCATCAAAGCTGGAAAACTCTCTCAACACTTGGACTTGCAACCGGTAAACTCAAATAATACAACTTTGAGTAGCAAATAAACCATGGATATTATGGATTCAATTTTGTCTCCACTAAACTCAGCTAGTTCATCAATTCCTTTTACCCAGAAAAAAAACTCATTATTTTTAACATAATGAGAATAATTCTCAAAATCCTGTAGAAGGAAAGAATCGAAAAGGTGACCAAAACTCTCCAGGATAAATTCGATGGGATAATGGGTAGTATGAGCTCAATTTTAGGCTTTGGAAAAATAATGATGGGATAATGGGTAGTATGAGCTCAATTTTAGGCTTTGGAAAAATTGGGGATAAGGGCTACACGTTTATAATTATATTTATGATAAAATTACAACAACAAACGAAGTATAGTCAAATATAAAAGATGTTCACTAATAGCTATTGGCTTATAGATTTGAATCACCTGTACTACCATGTTTTTTCCTTTTTCCATACTCAAACTGATTAATTAATTTTTCTCTCGAATTTTAGTGATGTCCTGCTAACCTCCTCTGCGTCCATCCCTAGACTTGAATATTCAAGTCATGATTATCTGATAATTTTGTGGGAGCAAGTAGCGATAGTTCCGTCTTAACAATCACAATTAAATTTTCATCACAGAGAACTCCGAGGCCGAAATAAGGATCATTCGAGTTTCATTGCAATCCAAACGATGGGCATCAATATATTTTTTTTATCCAGAATGATAGATGAAACATAATATGGTTTTACCTTAGATGATTATATCAATCTATCTTTATACTTGTACAAGTTGAAACTATAATATGATTATATCAATCTATGACTATATTTATACAAGTTGAAACTTTAATATATATGATGTCCATTATTCTGGTATAGTACTGTGTATCCCAAAGTAAATGAAACGTACGCCATACTGACAGGCTATATAACAATTGGCAACCTTACCTTGAAACGGCTGGCGACCATCTTTCGAAGCTCTTGCGACGACCGGCTTCGAATAATTTGAGACTGCATGTTGGCGGGATGCTAGCTTTATGGTTGTATTCAAAGGTTACAGAACAAATATTTAAGTGACACTTGCAATAAAATTTTGGTCTCTCTCAGTCAGCAATGCAAATATTGAAGTGACAATTTGCAACTGGTCAATTGTCAACTGTAGTTTCTCATTCATCACCGCGCACATCTGATATGTGTTGTGGCATATTTTACACATATATAGTAGGTGATCTCTCGATCGATGGTTCACCATTTCATGAATTTTGTTTAATATATATTACTTTCATTTAAGGAATGAAATGAACTCGGCAACATGTAGTTAGATATTTGGCTTTTGAGAATGGGGGCACTTAAGGCCACCGTTTTGTTCCTGTTGTGATTGCAGTGTTACGGTGATAACAAAGGTACAGCCACAATACTATGAAAATGAAACACTTAACACATTTAGTTGGTAATTTTGAGATTTTACGAAAATTGACAATTTTTTGTGGTTAGTTACTTCATTAGGCTCCATTTAGTTCACCAATTCAAACTTGAAGTTGACCTTAGGCTCCGAGAGGGATGAAGTGTTCCATTTGTGGTATGAAGGGCGTTCTTCTTGATATGGGATGAACTTGATAATCTTGGGGATATTATTGTTGACCATAGAGATATGTTGGTCTTGGATACCCGAAGCTATGGCTTGCATCATCACTTGAAGGTTGGTGATATTCCCTATTGTTGAGGCAATCGTTGGGATTCATATCTACAATCTATTTGTACAAAAAAAAAAAAAAGCAACCTAAAACAAAGGTGGGAAAAAAGAGAAAACAAAAGACGAACAAAAGCATAACACAATATGATTAAAGGAAGAATAACGAAAGAAGAAAATATACGTGAAAGGAAATACGACATCACTAACATGATATCACGACAAACTATTAACAAGAATCAAAACACACAATATAGAAAACAATAAAAGACTACAGTATTTCTCGGCTTTCCTAATAACCTAAGAGTTTCCCGACAACGACGCCAAAAACTCGATAAGAAATTATAAAACGATGGTCGTTTACTTCTAACCCTAATAATGACAAGCGTACCAATGTTAGGATAGTAGTAAATTAAAGTGATTTCGGTAGGATTCCAAGGGAACCTTAAGTCTATCATTACTTCGCTCTTAACTACTATCTAATCTAACGAGAAGGTTGGTTTTTGTACTAACCTAACCTAACTAAAACAACCAAATAAGTAGTTGAGATGTCGTTGGAGATGAGATGGTTTACTAGATTTGAATCTTTCTAATAGTAGGACGAGTAGCTGATTGGTTCAAGCCCAAACCCAATTTGCCTATCTTCTAAGTTGCTAGTAGTTATCTAATCAGGGTACACACAAGAATTCAATCAACAAAATTAGGCTACATACAAGAATTCATCTCCTCTAAACAATGATAGGGGTTCAATTCATAGAGAGAGAGAAAATACAAACTAGAGAGAGAAAAAAGTTTGATATCACTATCTTCTTCTTGGATTGCACCTTTCTCCTTGATTCTTGGATAACTTATTCCTTTCTTAGCTCCTCCAAGGCCCTTTCTCTCACTAAAAATTATCCAAACCCTAATTTCTCACTCTAGGCCGGCCATATTTTGTCAATTGTGGAAAAGAGGATTATATAAAGATTTTTGGTGCACGTCACGACCTCCGAACAGTGACACTAGACAAAACGGTGAACAAAGACACGGCATAGCTTACGCTACAGTCGTAATCTTGGTCGTGGCGTGTAAATGTCACAAAATTTTCAAAAAATCTGTGTCTTTATTTCGTTTGCAAGCATCGAGATCGCAACCTTGATCTTGAGATTACGGTCATGATCTGGTAATCACGTCCTGATCATTCTTGCGGCCGGAATCCTCCTCGGCCGTGAGTCTTCACAGTCTGGAGGTAATGGTCATAAACTGTGTAATTTCTCTCTTGTTGCTCTTACGCAAACACCAAGCAATCATAAAATATGACGAAACATGATGATTTCCCATGAAAAACCTTCATTGCAACCTAACTCATCATGCCAAAACTTATAATCGATGTATAGGAACACAAATCATCAGCATAAATTAGCTTATAATGTTGTCTGGGTATGATGATTTAGCACACAAACGCCTCGATAATAAAGGTTAGAGATAACAACAATTTGGTTGTTATCAAAAGTTCAAAACGTAGCAACAGAAAAAGAGGGAAACAAAATGAGTGAAAAAGAAAGGTAGTGTTACATATTAGATTACATTTTGATTATTGCTTACATAAGCAAGGAATTCATCATCACGCTCTAATAAGGCCATATCTTTATCGTTCAATGCAACCCAAGCTTCCACTCCACACCCAGTTGGCGACTCCATCAAAAGGATTACGTTGTTTACGTGATCTGCGAAATTCGCCATGCCAATCCACACCGGCTTCCCCCATCCAAAATCCACGTCGTACAGTCCCAGTCTGATCAAGCTGGACACCACAAAGTACATCGCCTTGCTCTCCGTTCTTGCAGCGCCGGCTGCCAGCATCTTGCACTTCATCTCCTCGTTTCTCGTATATTCTTCCCTTCCGCCTCCGCCTTCTATCCTCTCCATGAAATCCTCGTCCACTTTCTCGATCGAGCTCCTCAATTTGTGCGCCAGTTGCTGCAATGTTGTCTGAGTTTCATCGTCTGAAGAATGAAGTTGGTTGATGTTCTGGTACGATGAGATGTTGCCCCACATCAGGTTGCCAACCCAGTACTCCGCACATGGTTCACTCAATCGATAACGAAGGTCCACCGCCATCACTAAAAAAAAATGTATAAAAAGATTATGCACGTGAATACAAACTTATGTTTTCAGAATCAGATCAAATGTAAATAAGATGTTGAAAATGAAAAATTAGTGGTTTATGGTTTAGTTGTTAACTGTTATATGTAGGATTATTAATTAATCATTGTATGCACTATAACATAAAAGACGTATATAATACGCAAATTTAGGATTGAATTCATCACTCTATCAGCTTACAATTTCAAATCCACATCATCCATCACCAAAAGTACTAAGAAAATCATTCAAACTATCTCACAAAATAGATCATGTTTTTTATTTATTGAAATTTGAATGACAATCCATATAGTAGACCACAAAAACGGACAATGAGGCTAGGAAACGAAGAAATGAAGCATAAATAAAATTAGTTAGAGGTAGTTGAAGTTTTTTTTTTCTCTTATTAATATTTTATTTTTTTGTTAAAATAATGAACAAGTTGATAAGAAAATCGGTTGGTTTATCTGATTTTATATCTAACCGTTAAAAATCGTTCAATCCATTTCAACCCGTCCAAACTAAACAATCGAACTGATGTTATTACTCAATTGATAGATTCTACTGGTCTACATGATACAAACAGATTTAAGTGATAAACATGTGAAAAAACTAAATTTTAATCGAGTAAATTACCTGCAACCGAGTAAACCGAACCGGCCTTGAACCCATCGGGCGACGAAGCAATGGCGGCAGCGTCCACCGCAGATTTCCATAGCAACCCGCCAACCGCCTCGGACCGACCCGGTTTGGGCAGCCGCTCGCTCCTGGCTCTAACTTTCAGCGACGAGACGGCTTCCTCATCGAACACAAATCTCCTCGTCACATTCTTCTTCTTTCCTCCTCCTTCGCATTCCAAATCCTCCACCGAAGGCACCACGTCACCCACACGCGCGGGGAAGAGCCACGTGGCGCCTCGATTGTGGGCAAACGGCCCGCAACCGCCGGCGACGGCGCGTTCGTTTCCGCCGCGGACGATGGCGGCCCAGAGCCTCATGAAATCGGCGACGGTGTGGCCGTCGATTACCTTGTGCAGCAAGCAGACCCCGATGGCGACGCCGCCGCAGGGGAAGACGGTGGCCCGGAACGCGATCTGCGGCGCCGACTCGATCCCCGCCGGCGTGCCGACCATGTGCGCCGGGAAAGGAAGGAATCGCTGGAGCGAGTCGACGATTTCCGGGCCGCCTCTGAGAAACGAATCCAGGCTTTCGCCGCCGCCGGCCGCGAAAGTGAACGGGACGCCCTCGTCGTTGCAATGCACGACGGGGAGCGAGCCGGAGGGGCTGGACAGCAGCCTTCCGGCGAGCGGGTAGAAGCGCGTGAGAGCGTGGGCGAGTGAGGATTTGAGGAGGTCGAATATTTTCTCTCCTTCTGTGGGAGCGGGGTTTTTGTAGAAGAAGACTAAGGGGACGTAACAAGGAGCCATGTGGTTGTCGATGAGGGAGAGCTTGAATTTGGCTAAGTGGGATGGAGTTGGGGAAGATGGTCTTACGATTATGGTTTCTTCTGTTGATGAGGAGCTGATTGCAGCGGCGGCGTTTTGTGAGGATGCAAATGTTCTTCTGTTTAGCCACGCCCGCAACAGCGTCGTCGTCGTTGTTGATGATTGGCGACGGAACATTTTGTCGTCGCTATTGGATGTTGAAGGAGGCGGTTTCAATGGGTTGGGCTTGAAGTTGAAGAGATAGATTAAAGCAAGCGAAGCGAATACAGTACAAGAGAGCTTTCTAAGTTTTCAATTGACTTTCTTTAGTGAAATAGTGAATGAGTCATGAGTGCAAGTTGGTACCTTTCTATTTTGTTGTTGTTAATTTCATTAATTTAAAGGAATCATCAAGTTGTTTGCGACGATTCCTTTCTATTTTTCGTGATTTTTTTGGGACGGATTTTAAAATGTATAAGAGTTGTGTGGATTTGGTGATAGTTTTGTTGAAAGGGCAATTTTACTATAACTTGAAATGTAGTTAAAGGTGCAAATTGAAGTTGTATTATAAGTGAATTTGACATTTATGTTGTGGCAACTTGACCTAAATTCACAACTTTAGCTTGTACCATAAATGAATTTTATAAAAGAGTATATGCACAATCTAAAGTTGTACCAGAACGTTAAAGGTATAATTCCAAGTTGTACCATCAAGGTAACAACTTAAGCACCAATACTTTAAAGCATTGTGAAATTCCTCTTGTTGAAATTGTAACAATGTTTGTATTGTTCACAATGCATCTTTTTTTTAATTGTATGGAAAACATTATTTGTTTGATATGAGTATATGACTCAAACTATCACTCAAAATAAGTGATAGTTAAATATTACTTTTTATATGAGATTGTTAACATAGTTTTGGTGAGATTATTTAACTATAGCGAAATTTTACAATGCTTTAAAGCATTGGTGCTTAAGTTTATGCTTTTATGGTACAACTTGAAGTTGTATCTTTAACGTTATGGTACAACTTTATATTGTAACTATACTATTTTGTAAAATTCTTTTATGGTACAAACTAAAGTTGTACATTTAATTTATGGTACAACTTGAAGAGTTGAAATTGTACCACAACATAAAGGTCAAATTCACTTATGATACAACTCTAACTTGTATCTTTAACGATATGGTACAACTTCAAGTTGTATTTTAAAGCACCAATATTTTAAAACATATAGTAGAAGTGCTCTTAACTATATTCCTAACTTTTTGTTTGTGTTACTTTTTATATTAAAAAATAAAAATGAAGGGTAACTCTTTTATGATTAATCAAAAATTGTATTTAAGTCTGGGGAATTGCAACCTGCAAACTCCCTCTCAAAAAGGTTCCATTTTTACATATCAGTTTAACTAATCGACCATAAACAAATGAAAGAGGGAAAGAAATAATACTATGCTCGTAGAAAATTCAACATTTGATGATATTTTTTATAGTGTTTGTCAATTCTATTCTTGATACATTTTTTTCCTTTTATCAAAGCAATTTTAGTCATTTCAATTGTATTTTTTATTTAAATCACAACTATTCAATCAATGAGCCTTCAATAGATCAAGGTTATGTTTTTGTACTCTTTGATGCATTCTGAGTATGAAGCTTTTGAATGTACAAAGAAACCTAAGGAAGTTTGGACATTGGAGAACTCTGGAGGACCAAATGAGCTATTGAGAGAAGAATATGGACATTTTGTTAGAAAGATGAGGTCCAATGACGGAGGAGAGTACTAGAAGTCGTCATATAAACTTAAGACAAGCCCATAGGAAGAAGACTCGGGCCAAGCTGATGGGGAAACTAGCGACGATCCAACATCGGGTCCAACAGCTGGTGCAAAGAGGCTTGGTCAAGACGTGCCCAAACTGCAAAGGATCCCTCACGGAGGATCGTACAAGGTTAAAGGAGCCTAAGTCACGAAGAACATGAACCGCCGCTCAACCTAAAGCTTCTATAAGACTGCTTCAAGAAGTTACTTAGTCCACAAGGAGTAGGAGACCCTTTCGTAGCTTAGTAAGGTTGCACACAAAGTAGTCAAAACTAAGCTTTATAACTTAAAAACTTATGCTTTTACACTTCTAGGCCACCACAACACTTGTACGTAGAATCACACTTTTCACTTACAATTGTAGTCAAAATCTAAGTTCCAAAGCTTAAAACCTTACTTTTTTATGATTCTAGGTCACCAAATTGCTTCAACATAAAATCACGATTGTAACGTCCCGACCTTTTTCGAAAATCAAACCACAACTCAAACCCAAAACCGGTTACTCCGGAGCAACCAAAACCACAATTTAAAATAAACAAACTGACTTTATTTATTAATTTTAAATCAAAAAGCCCCAACACTTGGGCAAAATCTCAATCTCAAACACTTAAAACAACTGAACCCAGAATCTTGAACCTTGAACCTCCAGTACATATATACTCATAATCATAAACATAAAATAACTATCAAACTTTAACTAAACTCTTCACCCAGCTCCTTGACAACTCGTCATCGGTACTGGCACGACCGCTTGCCTCATCTTACTTCTTCTCGGAATCCACCTCTACTAACCCTTCCTCAACCTGGTGAGTGAGAAGGGGTCAGTCTCGTCGTTACTTCCTAAGGTCTTTGCCCTAGGCAAACTCCTTACTAAACACATTATTAGGGTTTCCTTTCCTTAGATGAAAGCCGTTCTCGCTTCCATCCCTCAACTTTATTACTCAAAACCTTATAGAATATCCTTACTACAAATTTTATCTTATAGAAGTTATTTACATCTATCCCGACTTAATCACATATCACTAGGGAATCACCGCGTTACGTATCGCCGTCCGGTGTCCCTATCCTCAAGGCAATGGTACTGCGTTACGTATCGCCGTCCAGTCCATGCCCGGTCAACTACTGCGTTACGTATCGTCGTCCAGTAGTGACCCGACCATCTACCGCGTCCAGTAGTGGCCCAACCGCCCGGGGCTTCAATTACCATCATCCATACATCACAACCACATACACACATAGCACAACGCGTGCCTCCACCTTAAGTAGGCGGTGGGATGCCTCACACACATAATCGCGCTTACTTGAAAATTAAATAACATAACTGAATTTAAAAACATAAACTAAAAGACCTCGACGGAGATTTTACCCCCTTTACACTCACCTCGAAAAGACGACTCTTCTTAATTGACGGTTGACCCACGTCATCGCTCGAAACTCCACGCTCCAACTCCTCGTGCTTTGCCTCCTTTTGCATTCCCTCCTATTAGATATTTAGGCAAAACTTAACTCACTTATCTCTAAGCGTAACTAACTAAACGACCTTCAATTTGGTTAATTTCAATCCCAATTTCTTCCATTTAATCTTTCCTAGGATTCCCCATAACATTATGGAAAATTACCTTTTTGCCCCAAATGGCGAATTACAAAATGGTACCCAGAATTCCTGACTTTTACCAATTCGGCCCCAACTTCCAGAATTGCACAATTCAGTCCTCCAGGCCAATTTCCACTTTCTGATTTAAACATTCCAGTCCAGTTGGCTTATTTCAATTCAGTACCCAAAACTTCACTAATTACGAACTAATCCCTGTCATGGTAAATTACGGATTGACACCCAAACTTCCTCAAAATCCCCAAACTGCCCTTATTTCTAAAAAGACCTAATTGCCCTCTACTATTCATCTAATTTTAAAAAGAATGCCATCAAACTCCAACAAAACGGGAGAACCGCCTCACCTCTCCATCGTCGCCGTCGACTAGGGATGTCAATCCAACCCGTAACCATGGGTACCCTACCCGACCGTAACCGGTCAACGAGGGTAATTACCCGCTTTGACGGGCTAAGGGGCGGGTACGGGTAATACCCGGTTTCAAAATAAAGGGTAGGGTACGGGTATGGTAATCGATAATACCCGCCCCGTTATACCCGCCCCGCTAACCAAAGGGTCAATTTCCCTTGAGAAAATTATTTTAGCTTGAGAAATTGAGTTTAGCTACCATTATTGATGATGAAGATGTAGACGATTATTATGTTTCTGTGGATTGTAGAAGAAAGAACAATTATTATGTGTTTGCTGTTTTTATTTGTGTGGATTGTTGAAGCTAGAACAGTTACAAGTATTGAGAATTTTTAATGGACAACAGTATGTATGTGCATATATGTGTATAAGTTCATAGTTTAGGATTCGTACCCATGGTTACCCGAATACCCGTGGTTACCCGGTGGGTAGGGTATTGTTATATAATTTTCATACCCGGTGGTTATTTGGTCGGGTATTTTAGAAAGCTCTACCCGGCGGGTTAGGAGTTGGTATAGGGTAAACCAGCACCCGACCCTACCCATTGCCATCCCTACCGTCGACCTCCAATCTTTCCTGCTTCCGGCTGCCGTCGCCGTCTTCCTTCTCCCCATCTTCGAACCCACAACAGTCGCACTCCTCTGGTTCCTCTTCTTCTTCCCCCGACAGCAACCCCCAGGAAGTCGCCGCTAGAACAGCTCCGCCGTCGCCGGTGGTAACTCGACCATCCCTCCTCGGCCCACAGTTCGGAGGCCAATGACAGATCGCGAACACCCCTCGTCGTTTCGGAGGGTAGACCGGCATCCTCTCTGTTTCCCCTGCTTCATTAATCCCCTTGCCGATGTCGGGATCGACGCGAACGTCGACGTCAACGTCGAGATTCATCGTCGCTGCTGCGTTCCCGAGACCCCTCGCGCGTCCTCGGGTCGCCCTCCTTCCTCCTCTCTTCAGGGACCGCGTCGTCCTCTTCATCGCAACGTCCTCGTTCAGCTCGTTCGATTCTCCCCCCTATTTTTCCTCCACCGCAGGGCGCCTTACTCTTTACACCTCCCTCTTGCTTCACTATTGAAGAAACGACTCCCATATCCAATCACCCCAGATGAACTCCACTTTATTGCCATAATTAATCGTTAGTTACACCGTGATTTCAATTGCTGGCCGTTTTTTC